GTATTTCATCTAAGTCCGAAGCAAGCTTATATGGTGTGTTTGTTTGATATATTCTCATTAACCCTAACCTAAATTTTAGTGTTTGGATCATTCTTTCTATCACTCCTATTGCTCTAAGGTCATCTACCGGTGCAAAAAGTATTTTTATGTTATTTGTGTTGTGAAAAAATTGAACGTTTTTGGCCCTGAATGTATGTGCTTGGTCGCACATTAGTCGTCGCGGTACCCCATTGTTTGAAATATACCTTTGCATAAATTTTATGGCGATATCCGCCGTTATAATTGACACGACTTTTGCTGTGGGGAATTTTGACGACTTGTCCAAGGCAACCAAAATATACGGTCTATGTTTCATTAATCAGGGAGGGGCCCGGCAAAATCTAATTGTATTCTTTGTTAGGTTCGACTACCGGCTCCATTTGGAACGAGTGTTTCTTTCCTACTCTTGGTTTGATGTTTTTATCTTGTTCTGTACAGTGTTTGCAGCTTTGGTTCATTTGGACTATTGACCGATGTATGAAGGGAAACCACACGTGTTGGTACAGATCCAACATGGCAACCGAACCAGGATGTGTCAGATGCAGGTTTTCTAGAACTGTTTGTCGCAGCTGTGTTGGTATGCCGATTCGTTCGCCTATCAGCAAACATTCTTTTCTGACGTGCAATCTATTTTGTATTTTGTACCAATATTGCCCGTATGACGTCGTTATGGCCTCCCAGTCTCGTTTTCTGACAAGGTTTATCAGCGGTCGTAAATTTCGGTTTCTCTTTGTGATGAAATGGACACCTAGCACCTTTTGTAGTTTCCGTCGAAAAAGTGGTGTGTCTTCTTCTAATTCTGTGCGTGTGCCTTGGTCAAATTTAGCGATGATCCCTTCTATTATTATGTTATGCATCATCAATTTTTATTTGCTGTGTGCTCATGGTGGGAGGTTCAACGTTTGGGCTAAGTACTTTCTGACTACAGTGGTTCGCGTCCACGCGGATCACACAGTATTCGTACGTTTCGTGAACTTCGATAGAGAGTTAAGTGTGGGTGGCGGCTACTATCCCGAGTCCCTCCGTCTGAGTTTCTTGTGTTGTCGTTTTCTTTAGAGTTGCTGGTGATTGTGTTTTGATGGATAGTTTTTTGGTGGATGAAGTGTCGTCACTAAACACAGTTTTTGGGAAATTCTGTTGCTGTTTGGGTTTTGAGGATAGAAGTTCTTGTGCAACCCTGACAACTACAGTTGGTGGGGGCGTGGTAGCCGGTCTTTTTTTGGTGTCGTTTGTGCCACCGGTATCAGACAGACTTTCCTCTCTATCTGAGAAACCTCACCATTTGAGTTTTATCTCTGCCTTGTGCTTCTAAAGTGTTTAGGTCCGCTGGGATTAATCTACCTTTGAATCCTTTTACGTCCGTTTTTGGCTGATTTTCCGAATTTGACTGATTATCTTAACCAAAAATTTTGAAATTTATTTATATAATTGAATGAATGGATGACTGAATTTGAGCTGACTGTTTTTGAGATATTTTGAGCAGAACTGATTTGGTTTGAATGTTTTCAATTGACCGCTTCCGGAATGTGCGGAATGTTGAAACTTCAATTGAGAGTTTGACGTGCTAGTTAGAAACCTTTGGTTTTCAGCGCGCTTTTTGATCAGCTGATACGGTGCCTTGTTCTGATTGGCTAGAATACTAAATATGACATTTTCAATCATTTCGAGGTTGATTATGAATGCATTAATTGATGTTACAGCAATTTCTTCATCGTACGCGCTTGAGATTATTGCAACCGGATTTCTTGACATTTAGTCTACTCATCGCTTCTTATTCCCTGCAAGTTGTTTAATGTCAAATTCAAATGGGATTAGCCGGTCAATCCATAGTGTTAATCTACTTTGACGAGTTTTTGATCTATCGCTTGCATTTAATGCGCTGATCAAAGCTTGGTGGTCTCTGATGCCGATAAAATGTTTTCCGTATAGATAGTATTTAAAATCTTCGATGGCCCGAACTACTTCAAGTAATTTTCTTCGTTAACTGAATGTTTTTCTTCGAGTGAATTTAAAGAACATGACGCATAAGCTATGGCATCCCAGCCTTCCGGGGAGCGTTGTTCTAATACGGCCCCTAAGACTGACGTGGAGGTGTCGCATACCACGCGGGTATCTAAATGTTGGTTTAAACGTTTTTTTTTTGAGTTATTTCCGAAACTAACTTTATAATATCATTGAATGCTCTATTACGTTCCGGTTTTCTGTCAATTGATTTAATTTTTTCTGCACTTTTTAGCAGTGTTTTAGTTTTATCTTTTGTTTGGAATCCAATGCCAATTTGACTATCTGATCCTTTTTTACGGTTGTCACGATAGGGCTAATTAATTGTCAGTCCAAACATTTGTTAAATTGATATGTGTTTTTGATCCATTAGTTTTTAAGTTCTGTTTTAACCCGTTCTTGCAAAAATGCACGGGAAAGCCGCGCCCGTTTTGCTGAATGGGGGTTGCCTCTTTGCTAAATTGTGTTCGCATTACGTGAGATTTTGACTTCCCATTACGAGCGCATAGTTGTTGGAAATTATCTCTAACCCACTGTTTGGTATCGGGATTTCATTCCTCCGGTTCTTGACTCAATTTGATTCCGATTTGTGGCAATCTGTTTCTGCCTACTATATTTGCCTTTGCTCATCCACGATGGTGAACGGTGCTGATTGTATTTTCCAGCCTCCCGATTCGACTGTTATAATTAGTCTTCCCTTTGGAACTATGGTTTCATCATTATAGCATGCCAAGTTTCTAGCGGCATCTTCCGATTAATTACTTTTGAACATTGTTGATTTGTCGTTTTCTTGTAATCGTCGAGCCGTTTTTTTGTTTATAAATGACATTGGGTTTCCGGTGTCGGCGATAGATCTTCTTTTTTCGTTTTCAGTTTTACGATTTTTCTGTTGAGGTCATCTTCCATCAAATAACTGAGTTTTTTTTATTTCCAATGCTTCTAAAATTGCAAAAACTGAAAACTTATAGACTTGATATTCTTCCCAACCGTCTTTGGATGAAGTTTCTGCAAGCGCAACTGGGTCGTTATTTAATTCTATTTCCTGTTGTTGTTCGTCATTTTGGTCCTCCATGTAATTCACGTTTGCAGACATACTTTCGCAAAGTGGCCCCGCTTGGCGCATTTTGAGCAAATTTTGTCCTTTGCTGGACACGACTGTAAGTGATTTTGACCAAATTGGTTGCTGCACTTGTAACATTGCTTTTGTGTATTATAACTAGTAGTTCGTGATTGTTGACCTCTTGTTTTTTGTGTCCCACGATTATATGGTCTGCCTCGAAATCCGCCCCCACCTCTCTGTGAAATTTGACTGTTAGTGTAGTTATTGCGACCACGTGGATTGATGTAGTGTCTTGGTTCCTGCTTTGTCGTTGTTGTTATTTGGCCTCCGAATGTGTTTGTTTTCATGGTTCGACTGCGTTTGATACTTTTTTCTCGGCGGATTTCATATTCGTGTGCGTCTTGAGGACTTCGCGTTGCAGCTAATAGTTCTTCCGCAGTTTTTTTGTTGTGCATGTGGGCAGTAAATATGTCTCTCATTCACTCGTCCTCTCTATTTCCTCATTCGGCTCTTGAAGCCAGTTCAACTAAGTCCGCGTGGAACAGCTCAAGGCTTTCAGTTTTTTTTTCTGTTTTTTTACGGTACAACTTTATCTGTAGAAAACAAAGATTCTGGTGGTCACAAAATATCTTCTTAAATCGTCATAAAATTTTTGTGGTGACGGTGTGCAGGTCGAGGTTTGGTTTCTTTTGTTGGAACTGCCGTTGCCCCTCTGCGCCAAGGCCTAGAAATAGATAACTGCGGACTTTCGCGTCCACCTCGTCCCAAGCGAATGAGTTACACAACACTCCTTTTTCCCGGGCTTTTTGCACGTGGTTTTCCGAACCGACTCGCTTCTCTTGGTTTCTAACGTCACGATTTTCTCTCTGCGCTTTCGTTTCGCCCGTTATTTCTACTTCATATATGGGCTCTGCGGGTTCAACTAGTTGTGGTTTGTTCCTTAAAAGATTTCGTACCTCGATTCCATCTTTTGCCAAAACCGCCATCTCAAATATTGCTGCCCCTTTAGACCACTCTAACGGTATTTCAGCTGAAGCTTTCTCACAAAACGGGTTAATATTCATCGGGTTTTTCGAATATCCTGCTGACTGTGCCATTTCATACCTCTAAGTATGAGCGTGTTGATTACTGAATCCAAACGGATTGATCCACGACATCTCTGGCGTAAGCGTGACAAAACAACTGTTTCCTAAAACCACCATTATTGGTGTCTGAGCTACTGCTTATATCGATCACTGGCTTGCCGCCTTACAAGGTCAAATGACCAAACATCACATTAACTCACATGGTGGGTTAAACATAAATGCATATATCAAATAAATCAAAGTTAATCGATCCGTGCCGAATGACAGCTGGGGTGAAAGATCTTAAACTTGATCTACATGAGGGGGAGGATGCTATTTTGACTCGGGGTTTAGATAAACCCACGAATGAAAAATAGTTCCTTCATTTTGGCCTGCCCTAAGTTATTATTAAGTGGAATCAATCTATCTAATTTCATCATTTAGATTGTAACTTTTACTTTTCATCATTTATGGGGGCATAAAGAACAATGGGGGCAAAAATGATTCGATATTGACAAATGCAGAAAGTCAATACGTAACGGATAGCAGAGAGCGCAAAACGAAGAAATGGATATATTATCAAACGGGCTCATTTCTCATTATTTTCTGTCAATTTATCCGCATTAAGTTGCGGAAATCTGAGTTTTATTATTGGCGTCTTGCCCAATTGAAACACGCAACTGATGAAATTTGTTTTGATTTCATGGCTACTTTTTTTCAAAAAACTGCTTTGAATGCCACCATCAAATTTCCTTTTTAGCAGTTCTCGGTACACAATTTTAAGCTAGACTGTAAATGAAATAAAAAAGTGCTATGACCGCTTTTGTGAACAACCAATGGGAATCGCTTTGAAGGAACTACCGTTAAAAATGGCGTGTTTTTTACACCAACAAAAATCAAATACATCCATCTATAATCTACTGTTTTCCCCAATTTATTCATTTTTGGAACCCAGAAGTTTTTTGACAATGTATACATATTGAGATATATCAAAATTATGACTCTTTTTCTATTTTGTACGAATAATTCATTCGTAATTCATTCAGTCACCGTTCATTCGATACAGCGTGCAGCGTTTTGTAGCCCAGATGGGTTCGCTAAATTTTAGCTGCTGTCAGAGTGATTCTATATTGTTATTGTTGCAGCAGGTTATTTTTGATATACTTTGCGATCACGTTCGCTACAGAAAAAGCGATAAATTTATTATGAAGCTTTCGAACAGATGTACATCATCATACATAAATAATTTATAATAACTTATACATCCTGTTACTTGTATTTTCTCTTTAGTTTTTGTTCCAATTGTATTTGTTCTTATCAATATAGTTTTCTCTTGCATATAATATATATTTTTTAAATTAAACTTGAAAATATGATGCCGATGAATGAAGAAAAAACTGACATGAACCGATCAGAAAACAGTTCCATGTCCTCAATGATTTCAGCCACGGGTATTTATTTTTACCCGTGGGTGTCCCTTTTAACCCTTATTTTCACCAGTTTTTTCGGCTCTGTCGGAAATCTGATTGTCGTCACTGTCTATGGTCTGAAACGAAACAAAAATGCAAGTGAATGCTTCATATTACAGGTAAGAATTCCATAATTAAGATTAGGACCTTTTATCCACGGGGGAAAGTACCAACGCAAGAGCTGTACAGCTAATCACGGCGAACCGCTGCTGTTCCCCTGTTTATGCTATATGCTATGTTTTTGGATATTTTTCTGGATGCTGTTTCTTCACCCTCAAGCAACGAGCACGGATCACGGTGGGCCTCGAACATCCAACCTTTCGTTTCAGATGCGGAGACGTAACCACTTCACCATCTCGCCATGTATTAATTCATTAATTTTTAATTGACTGCAATATCGACACCCATCGAAACAGTTTACATGGTAATCAAAATTTGAATATTTTTGCGTTTTTAGAGTTGTTTCTTGAGCGTTTTTGTTATGATTGAGATACATATGCTTTAGCAGATTGTTTCACATTTCAGTCAAAAAAAATTTCCAAAAAAAAAGTTTTCGCTTCTAAGAAAAATTCGAAACTTTGGCCTAGATCAGCTGGGCTTGGGTTTAATTGATTGACAGGGGATCAAATATTTTTCCCTATAGATGAATTAATTGCTGGAGCTTGTTACAGCCAATGTATTAATTAAGAATCTGCTCAATTAAAACAGTTTCAAAACTTGAATTTAAAAGTATTTGAAAGCGTCGCTGACAGTTTCTGAACCCCAAAAACTTCCATCCATTTGATTTATGACATAATTCTGCGTGCAAGAAGGAAACATTCAACAAAAGTTGCCTTCTAAAAGCTATAAAATAACTCTCAATCTGTTCCTTTTCGTTTTTAAGCAATGTACAAATGAGCGAGTAATGACGTGAATCATACGTTTTGATGCTATTAGAGATAAATTAATTCTTTTTTCAGTCATTACCAAAAGGACTTAATTTGAATTGAGTTTCTTACGCGAAATTTTTTGGCCATGATTTATGCTGATAATTGTTATCAAACAGATGTACCTCCTAGATCACCTTGCCAGTAACCTAAAGAGTCCAAGTAGCCATCGCAAGACTTGGACATGGTTCTTCATGAATGACTAAAAGACTGAACCTCCAGTATAGTAAGATTGGAGGTTTTCAGCAGATGAATACTTGTGATGATTTTGCCAACAATCATTTTTTCTTTTTTGTTTCGACTTTCGATACGAAAGTAACAAAAATTTGTGCTCGGGGTGGGTTTTTTTTCTTCGGACAAATTTTGACTTTTTAACTATTCTTTTTTGACGGGATTTTTTAAAATATCATTCAAAGGGTATTCTTGTCCTCAGCTTAAATTTGAAAAATATTTTATCTGTGATCATGTTTCGTAAAGTTATGGGGGTTTAAATATTGCCATTTTGGCCAATTTGGGACAATCAACGCGCGATATATTTCGCGCTATTAACGCGTAAGCGGAGAGTTAATCCGTTAGAAATCGTTCCAAATTGGATAAAAGAAGCCTATTTGTCATAATTAATTTGTTAAAAGGAGCGAAATCTATTCTTTTGTACTTTATATAGCTTGTGGGTGATAATTTCATTGAAAAATTTTCAAATTATATAAAAAAAATTTTGTTTCTGTTAAAATAGTTTTCAGATATTACTACTGCTCCATAAACCTTCAAAGGCAGTCGGAACATTCAAAGCCCTGATACGAGCAGTTTTGTTGAATTTAGGATTTGATTGTTCTGACTTTCGAAAAAAGTTCGGTATATTTATGCTTGGGGTAGTTTTTGTCCAACAACTTTCGACTTTTAACAAAGTATTTTCACGGAATTCTTACACCAACTGAAAGATATTGTTAGTTTGAGCTCAAAGTCATATATTAAACTCACCTGTTTTTTTTTTATAAAGTAATTGGGATTCAACGATTGCCAATTTGGCTAATTTGGGATAACTAAAGCGCGATCTAAGCGGAAACCTAAACCGTCACAAAAATCGTTCCAATTTAATGTGAGGCATACTATTTGGTCTATTAAAAATTTGGCTAAAATGTGAAATCTACATAATTTAAACTTACATAGCTGTCTATAAAGCTTAAGACAAAATCCCGGCGATAAAATTTGAACATTTTTGCGTTTTTCGGATAGTTTTTTGGAGCATTTTATTTATTATTGAGATGAACTTGACTTAAAAAATTTGTTTTATATTTCAGTCTGCCATTTTCTTTTCAAACATTTCAAAAATCTAATCTCGATTTTGATCTACGTTTTCTAAAACACTCTAAAAGATTGATTGTGTAGACTTATTTTTTTTCAGGGCTTTATTTTAGTTTTTGTATTCAACTCACAAACGTGTTTGCTTCTCAGACTGTGTATCCAACACTCAATCTCGTATTCTGAAGCAATATACAATTAAGCAAATGATGATGTGAGTCACACGTTTTTAAAGCTACTAAAGCTACAAAGTTTCTTTTTCTTGTTTCAGTCACCACCAAATGGGCATTTTTGAAATCATTACGAAATTTTTTAACCAAATTTTCGGCCATGGTCTATGTTGATAGTAGTCATTGGACCGATTTATCTCCTGGAAACCTTTGGAGTTCCCTGTCAGTAATTTGAAGAGCTCAAATAGACTTTGAGTTCATAAATTCCATGAGCTTTCCAAATTGGATTGAATTAAGTTGTTTTGTTTTTTCTAAAATTTTGGGTGATGCTTAAGACATAATTTCGTAGTTGACATAGCGTGGGAACATTTCGAAAAAGAAATGAAAGAATGTTTACAAGTATTTTGACTTTTTTTGAAATTTCGTTTTTGTAAACAGAAAGCTTTGCCAAACCAGGTCAAGGCATTCGGAACATTCAGATTTGGCATTTTTTTCAGTTACTATGTGAGTTATAAATGAAGGACTGGAAGATGAATTGTGAGTTATGACCGAAGTGTAACTCATAGAGTAATTTCGGATAGGGTACACCGTCTGCTCGTCACGCTATCTTATTTTCGGCCGGATAGATTAGTGCAACTTCTTAGTCTAATACCGATCCTAATCTTACTCTTATATCTACTAGTCTCAGGGTGCTTAACTAGTCTCTGCTAGGCTCAATAGATCTAGAGTATACTGGCTTGTTGCGATTGCTAGAAGGTCTCTTGGAGAGGTAACTAATTTCTAAGCTAAATTCAAATCTCTCTGGTGCTGGAATTACAAGTAATTTCAACACTTACAAATAAGTGGGTTATTAGTTAGATGGATCACGATTGGTTAATATCAAATATTTTATAGTGATAAAATATCCAATTTATAACCAATAATAAAAAATATAGTTTAGATCTGGTTCCACCCATCCGGGGCTTACAGAGTTTTGAATCTTAGATCTTCTATCTGTAATGAAGGATGGATGTTGGTCGTTGTTATTTGGCGAGCATCATTTCTTGTTTTGTTCGTGGAGAAGAAAGCTCCAGGAAGCTAGAATCATCGACATGAACTTGTTCGTTGATTGTTCGACGATGACTGCGACCGCCTGTGAAATCAATCTGATTTCAGAATGGTTTGCTATGATTGTTTGTCCTGCTTGGGTGGAGAACTTGATCGAGTATCATTCTTATCTGGGAATGGTGTGAAGATCCTGTTTGGAGGGGATGCCTTGTAACTCGGATCTGTTACGCATACTTGAACATCGAGGTGGTCATTGGTCTGGTTCAATGAAGTCCTTTTCTGCGAAGTCAAGTCGTACTCTAAATCCTTTATGAGTCGTGATTGTGAGCGGCATGTCAGTTGTATTTAGCCATTCTGTAGATTGAGTGTGAGGGGGTCGTCTAGTCTTTGGATGCTCGTTCTTGTGGTTGTTCGTGATCTATGTACTGCATATTATAACTTACGTTTTATAAAATTTTGTTAGTTCTATTTTTTAGTAACGTTTTTGATTAATTGTTTTCGCAAAAGCGTTTTAGTTTTAGTTGAGTTTTTTCAAAGAGTTACTCACACTTGAGTACCTCTTGGCAAGAATAGTGATGTGGTCACAAAGCGTGGATGTAGCACGGTGGGTTAGGCCGGCTATAGAGCATGCTCAGGACGTCCTCTCTGGTCGGTTAGGCCAGGAGTGGGAGTATGATTTCATGCTGGTGTTTTAAGGGGTCCTGTTTTGTGTCAACTTTTGTGTTATATTATTTTTTGTTTTCCTTTTGTTTCGTTGGTTGTGTCCTTTTCTCAAAAATCAAATTGTTTGTGGTTAAGGTTTGTCTTGCGACTCTTTGAAGTTTTATTATTTCTTTTTTAGACTTGGTAATAGTCTTCAAAAGAATAAATTATCCAGTTTTAAGCTGGTTTAGTCCAGTTTGGGTACCGTAGCTGTTCTTTTCTTAGTCATGATGTTAGTTTGTGGTTTATGGTGTTTAGTTTGCCTCATTGGTTAGTTTGGTTATTATAAAATTCCATTCCAACCGGGTTAAAGGAAAGTTGGAAACGTGTTATTGCTTGTTTGAGTTGTTGTTAGTGCAAACTTAAAACTTGAATTCATTATTTTAAACAATTCTTCGTGGGCGAGCTGTGCGATTGTGGATAGAATTCTTGTGCGTTTGAACAGAAGATATAGAAAAGGCTAGTACTGCATTTCATTTGTATGAATTTATTGCTTTTAAGACTAAATTTTACAGCTTTGTGGGTGTTTGAAAATTATTAATTGATTATTATCGTACTGAATGTTACTACATTTAGGTTAAAAATTTATAGATGAATTTACTGCTTTCAAATTGAATTTTACTGCATCATTTAGAGCTATAGATTTAATAGAGTTTGTGTTGAAAAAAAGTCTGTGTTTTTATTTGTTTTTTCATCTTGTTGAAGGTGATCACGGGTAATTACTAAAGAAAATAACAACTAATTACAAAGAATGGTTAGTTTTTATTTTAAATTAGTTAGTCGTACTTACCTTATTCGTCGGGGAAAAAGCCGTGAGGGAAAACATCGTGAATAGCGTCTGATGTAGTTAGTAATTTTGCCAGTATGCGTCTGATGTTTTTAGTTTGTAGCAGTGGCCAAAGCAATTGAAGTGCTTTTATGGTCTTTAGTTCTTCGGTGCCTACTGCAAATTCATGAGGTGTGTTTTGGATTAGA